CAACGAAGGGTGCGAAAGACCCGAAGACCGAGGTACTCCAGCGATGTTCGTCTTCTTGTTAGTTGAAGCTTCGTAGCCCGGCATGGTTCCCGCTGGCCACAGCAGGCTCAGATCAGGCCGGCTGCTAAGGCTGGCCTTCTGGAGTTGTTTTAAGGCCGTGCGCGTTGGAGCTGGACTGGCGGCGCAAGACAGCTTCGGAGATCAAGTCCATTGTCGTGGATCTTTGTGATGTTGCTTGAGCTTCGAGTCTGGGTGCATTTTGGCAGCGTGGTTGCATTTCGACAGGTTGGCTTGCCATTTTTCCTGGACAGATTGGCCGTACTTTGGTTTCGCTGAAGTTTTGTTTGAGCTGCAATTGTATTTTTGCTGCATTTCGGCTGCATTTGCGCCGCGTTTGAGCTGGAATCCATTTGGGCTGCAAGGTTCCATTTCGGCTGTCTGGATTGCATTTTGACAACATTTTTTGGTTGCATTTTGGCTGACGTTCAGCCGAGTTTGCGCAGATTTTTCAGCTGTTTTTTGCCGACTTTTCGTGGCTTCCAGACAGTCGGATAGGTGGGGACGGAGCTTGACATGGACGTCGTTTTGGACTGCGTGTCAGCTGGATTGAGCAGTGCTTGGGCAGCACATGAGCTGGAATTGGACAGCGGGTTTGAGTTCTCCATCATTTGCAGAAGGCAACGCAGAACATTTTGGCTCAAGCGGCGGCCGTGAAGTGCTCGAACAGCTTTTCTGTTCGTTTTGGGCTGTGTCATGACGCATGGCTGTAAGCTTCAGGGCAACATGGATACTTTCACAGTCTGTGTCTGTAGACCACTCTTCGGCCACCCTTGCGCCGATGGCCGACACTTCTTCATCTGCCGATATCCTGGAAGCCACGGCAGAGGGCTCAGATACGGAAGAGACGCGTCGTGAAGACCAATCCGCTTGTCGCTGGGCTCTTGCAGACGTGGCATCGCCGGAGGATACGGCTGGGCACTCCCTCGCAGTGACAGCGGCGGGAGAAGTGGCTGCAGCCCGCTGGTGGAACCGCGATCGCCCTTTCTCGTCTTCTGAGAACGAGAAGGAGCCAGCGGCTGTTCCGGGCCCGCCTCGGCAGAAGCTGGTCTTGGGGCGGTTCTCTCGGAGTTTCCGTACTTGGAGGCGCAAGCGTTTTGATGCTTCTCTGGATTTTCGACTTCAGCAGCTTCGTCCTCTTTTTGGGGCCGACCTCGAGACCGTCGTCTTGGAAAACCCTTCCAGGACGGCCGACGCAGTAGCTGCTGGACATCGGATTCGAGAAGAAACCGCTGCCGTTGCAAGCCTCGAACGACAGCAGCAACGCATCGAGATGCTGTTCGAGGTTTCGGCTCAGCTTGGCCATCGCCTCTCCCTGGCGGAACTCCAGATCCAGAATCTCCGGGAAGCTCTTCAAGATGAGTGAAGCGGTCTTTTTTCGAGGCCGGTGGGCTTGCCTACTTCCTCGGCCTTCTCGGCTATGATCCAGTGTACTATCTTGTAGGGTTTGTTCAGCTGTCCTGGAAGGTTGGCTGGACTTCACTAGGGCTGATTGCTTCCCGGGATCGCAGGGATTCCATGTGTTCGGGCAGACTTGCTTATTCAATGCTAGATCTGTCGGGGTCCTTTAGGGCTGGTCTCCCGGGGGGCATCTTTGTTCCAGGGTTGGGCGACTGGCGCTAGGGCAGCTGGCAACAGCCATTTGCTTTCTCACAGCCCAAGCACGGGTTGACCCAAGCGGTGCGTTTTGCATGCCACAAAAGCGTGATTGCGGTCAGTTCCGGGGTGCACTCCTGGCAAGTGAAGCGTGCAGACTGAACTCTGGCTTCAGCTATCTGATGCGATGATCCCGTTGGGATCGGACATGATCAGCGATTGCGCATCCTCTTCTGCTCAAGCAAGAGCATCTTTTCAGAGATCATGCGATCATACCTCATGCTCAGGCACATTTTATATGACAACAGATACAGCAGCTGTGCATACATCCTAACAGATTTCCGGTTTTGCTGTTACGGACAACATATAGGTTAGTCCTTTCTCTCGCCCGTGTAGTTTCATGCGCGAGGCTCCAGCGACTGAAAGCACAGATATTCAGTCCTCCGCGGATCTCAGGGTGCAGCTTACTGATTTGTCGGCCATTATCACTCGCTCTCGGGGGCAGGTGGCAATTTTGCGGGAGGAAAATCGCCTTTTGCGCATCAGATTGGGCGCGTTGGAGGACAGAGTGGCTAAGCTGGAAGCTCAGGACAGGGAAGCTCATCTTCGCTTGCAGAGAAGATTTCAGCCAAGTGACTGTGCGATTGGTTGCCTTACTACTCGGGTTATCCATTTGGGGGCCTGTTTTCAGTATCTGGTGGTTGCAATCCAGAGAGCCTTTCCTCGCCCTCCTGGCTTTTGGCAGTCTCTTGAAGAAGATTAAGCTTGCGTATTGTCTGATGGAGCCAGGTTTTTCTTCGACAGGCGGCCAACCCAACTCAAGGGCTTTGCAACCAGGGGGACTTCCTCTGGCTTCTCAGGAATCCTGTTCTGACACTTTTCCGAGCGTTTCGGAAAAGCGGCTGGAGTCTGGGGGGTCTTGCTTGATGCCTCTGCAGTTTGTCCCTAGACCGGTGGGCAGCACAGGTCTCAGCCGACCCAGGCGCCTTTCTTCTCCGTCTCGCAGGCCTCACATTCTTGGGATTGAGGCGAGTCCGTTTCGGGCTCCTTCACCTCGGCCTCGGTCACGCCCTGTGGTCTTCGCGTCAGCGCCTGTGCAGCCGCCTCGACCCAGGCGGGCGTCGGATTATGTTCAGTATCCTGCATCGAGCCTGAGCGCGGGTGTCTCGAGCTCAGTGGGATCTGGTGCATTGGTTGCGCCATCCCCGCCGGTATCCGCTCCTCGGCTTGGCCGAGGCTTGGTGGCGCCTTACAGATCTAGGGGAACTCCCGGTATGGTTACCTCAGCCGATACTCATAATCGCACTTGGGAGTTATGCTTGCGTCAGTGGGCTCTGATCAGACCTATGCTTCTCCCGATTTCGGATGTTCTGGGTGAACTGGATTCATCGTTGCACGCGGAGCGGCTTCTGCGCAATCTGCTTTGTTCAGTTTCGGAGAACACCTTGACAAGGTATCTGGCCAGTGTCCACAAGTTCATCTTGGTTTCTGAGGAGTTATCATTGGATATCGGGTCTTTAAAGCAGGTCAACGTTGCCGATATTCTTTTGTCGCTGCATAGGGGGGATGTTCACATCTCCAATGCTCTGAAAGCTCTTCGTTGGGCGGCTAAAGCACTGCGCCTGCGGCTTCCGGATCTCTATGGCGGTCTGCTGCTGGGGGTTGAATCTAGGGTTCTTTCGGATCGCAAGGAGGCTTTACCACTCCCGATTTTCATTTTGGCAGCTTGGGAACGCCTCCTCTTGAGTGAGGAGGGGGAGCCTGGGTTTCGACTGTTTATCGGGGGTCTTCTGGTAGCGGCGAATGCCAGTTTGCGCTTCAGCGATTGCCAGCATGTCTTATGGTCCTCACTGCAGGCCGGTCGGGACTGTCTCAGGGCCATCTCTTACCGCACTAAGTCTTCTCGGCGAGGCATGCCATTTGGACTGGTCTCCTGTGGTTTTTACGGGGACACTGCTGCATATTATCACTCCTGGGTTTGCAAATATTTGTTTCTCCTGGGTTGCGAATGGGATCATATCACGGAGCGTTTTGGGGAGACGGTCCCCGATGCTCTCTTCTTTTTGTCAGACGAAATGGAGTGGAGACCGATGTCATACGCCCAGGCGTTATCGGCCTTCCGAGGTGCATTAGTGGCGGCAGGGCTCTCGCCGCAGGAGGCTGGTAATTACACGTTGCACTCGTTGAAGACAACCTTATTGGCCTCGCTGGCTCAACTTCAGGTTTCTTTCAAGAAACGGGGTTTGCAAGGCCATCATCGTTCTTCTACCAATGGGTGTGTTTTGCTGTACAGCCGAGATGATGTTCATGGCGCTCTGTCTCTTCAGCAGATGTTTTGGGACAAAGTTCGTTCGGGCTGGTTGCCATTGACTCCACAAGCACGCGGCGGTTTGCACCCAGCCAAGCAAACGATGATTGAGCCTCAGGTGTTTTCTTTCCACACCTCCCCGGCTCATTTACGCTTTCCTGTCGAGGACATATCAGCCCTCCCGGTTGCAGCTCAGGTGACGCCTCCTGCCCCGCCCGTCCCTGCCCCAGAGGAGGTGGAGCCTGCTGGCGATTCGGATGTAGATTCGTCTTCCTCGTCTACATCCTCGTCATCACCATCGACGCAGCAGACGCGCTCTTGGACAAAGGTGTCGGGTCAAGAAGCAGAGGAGTTTCTGTGGGTGCAGACGTCTTCGGGATTGATTCATTGCGCCTCTCCTCATAGTGGTCTGGAGGGCATTGTGGTCGTGCGACCGGACGGCATGAAAATCCGAGTGAAGCCCCGTTGTGGGACCATCGCACGGTCTATGACCGTTTTGGCTGATCTGCCGCCAAATCCGCGCTTTTGCAGGCACAAGGCTTGCCAGGCGATTGTTTGGGCGACCTAAGTGGGTCGCATCGATTTTGGGTTGTCTGCGGCAAGTCTCTGGCGATCGATCGAAGATCGGGACCTGTTTCAGTCTCGTTTCTATTGCGATCCCTCGGTTCCTGCGAGCGAGCGGGTTCACGGGGGGGACGGCGATCGGTTACAAGATCCGGGACAGATCTGGGGCGATTCAAGCCAAAACCGCGGTTTCAACCGAGGGTTCGCGTGGGCCTGCAGCGAGAGTCCGCATGTGGAGCCGGCATTATGGGTCGTTTCTTGCAAGTCCATCGTTCACTGCATGTGGGGCTTGGCTGTGGGGTCGTACCTTGCAAGTCCTATTACCGCATGTGGGGTCCGCTGGATTATCGTTCTCTGCAAGTTCGAGAGCAGTACATGGCAGGCAATTTTCGTACCGAGGTGTCTTCGGACCACAGCATTGCAGTTTTTAGCATCGGTCTAGCTGCAGTAGCTCGGCGGATCGGTTTCTGGCACATGGCGGCAGAGGAACCTAGTACCCTGGATGCGGATTTGGTATCTTTGGCGAATGAATGTCGCGTTCCAAAAGAGTATCATGAGATATTCCAGGGCTTTGATGTTCCCCTATTCGGTTGCCTAGTTTCCGAAGCATCCCAGTTGGATTCGGCGTTGCATCAATTGCTGGAAAATTCGGAGGAGCCGGAATCGGCGGCTGGCAAACTTCGTTTGCTCTCTTCCTTGCGGCTCTTGTTTGAGTCGTGCAAGAAACAATCTTCGGCAGGTCCAGCGAACAAACGACTAGAATCCTCAGAGGAGGCCCGTTCTGCGGCAGCCGGCTGGACTGAGCAGTTCCCGCCTAAACTTTCGGGCGAGAAGGTGATTTCTCTTCA